GRWRGKKGKWGGGGTTGGAACTGGATGGGCTTTAAGGTCCCTTCCAGCCCAACACGTTGAGGGATTTTGGGACAAACCAACCCCCAGCGATGGAGAAGTGATTCACACATCCCAGAGATCCTTTAAAAGCRGCGGGGGGAGGAGATCTCTGTGTGTGTGTGGGTTCTCCCGATGCCTTCCAGATGCTGCTCAGTGCAGGTTTCCCCGGGAACAGAGCCCTGTTTGCTCGGGATGGGGCATCAGGGCAGCAGCAGGGACCCAGAGCAGCGAGTGAATCACTGGGATTGCTGGAAAAATTCCCRGATTCCTTGGGTGCCTGAGTGCCCCAGAGCCCCAGGAGCCTCACTGGGATTTGGGGATTTGCCCCACACCTGCTGTTCCAGGGGAATCCTGTCCCACGGGAACATCCCAGTGGGGTTGGGAGTGGTGATGTCAGAGCCCAGGAGGGGGGAAAAACTTTCCAGGCTCTCCTCACTTAYTTATTCCCAGGATTTGGAGCTTCACCCTTGGCTTTGGGGCTGCTCTGAGAGGGGAATTATGGAASGGTTTGGGTGGGAAGGGACCTGGAAGATGATTTAATTCCCACTCCTGCCATGGCCAGGGACACCTTCCACTCCCCCAGGGTGCTCCAAGCCCCGTCCAGCCTGGCCTTGGACACTTCCAGGGATCCAGGAGCAGCCACAGCTTCTCTGGGTCTCCTCACCCTCACAGCGAATAATTCCTTCCCATTATCCCRCCTAACCCTGCTCTTTTTCACTTTGAAGCCATTCCCCCTCATCCTGCCATTCCAGTTCCCGACAAAGATTCCTTCTCTCCATCCCAAKGTCATCGAAAAGTTGGAGACAWCCAGTCCAGAAAAGACTGATCAAGAAAATCAAGGAATRAAGATCTAATTAACATCRGAGTTGAAAAAATTCGGATCCAAYAGGAAAGTGAAKACTGGGGGATGCTCAGCTCTGGACCAATGGACTTTGAAACGATGCATCTCTGTGAGTTTTGACTGCATAAAGTCTGAGGGAAAATCCTGTAAAAGGATGTGTGTTTGGAATAYTTTCCTTGGCACATCCTGGCCAGAGAATAAAGTAATGCCCAATTCTCTATCACCTTGAATAGAGTGCAAGAGGGTTTTTATTTTCTTCCTGATTTTCAGTGACACTGGGAAGCCTCCTGGAAGCAGCCAGGAGCTCTCCTGCACCCTGTGATCTCCTGACWCAGAGACATGGAAAACACAGCTCCAGGGAAGATGGAACGGGATGAACACCCCCAAGATGTGTGCAGGTGATGAGGGAGCGAGCAGAGACGCGGGCTCAGAGCAGCCTCCGTGAGATATAAAATTATTTTAAATAAAAAAACCATCAGCAAACCCTGGCTCTGTRTGCCAGCACAGCACCACAACCCCAGTGCCTCCCTCGCACCTCCAGCAGGCGGGGAGAAACCACCACTCCGACACCTTGGGAACTCGGGGCAGGGAAATGAATCCCATCATTCAYGGGGCAGATTTGTAAGGTGTGAGTGCTGCTGGAGGAGCTCGGGGTCTGCTCCCTGCCTCGGACCCGGCAGCTTTTACGAGGGAGTCTAAAAATACGCACAATAAACCGGCTCCTGTCCCCACGGGGTCTGGGCTTTAATTGTGAGACAGAGTGAGAACCATTAAAGGGCACAGAGTACCTGAAGCCCCCTAATTTACTGAGCACGCCCCACGGGCAGCCAACAGAGGGCCATTGTACCGCGGGGGTGATGCCGAAAATCCGGGCCCTAAACCAGAGGCTGGACAGAATTCACAGAATAAAACACAGTTCTGTTTATTGCAGGGTCTACAGGGACATTCAGGGTAATCCCAGCCCACCCAGGGCTGCACCCAAAATGGACAATGACTTACGAGTTTTTTATGCTTTATCACTTTTGTCCATTTGCACATCAGGGCTGAATCCTCCAATTCCAGCTTCAGCCAATGCAGTCATTGACTCCAAGTTGGTTCCCCCCAATTCTCTGTTGTTTTCATCTCTTGGGGCCTGGCCCAGTGAGGTGTCCTTGAGTTTGGGGCTGCAGAGGAATTGTTTTGTGTAAAAATGGGAGAGCAGGAGCTCAGCACTGTCTGTGGGGTCTGGAGTTAAACATTGAAGAGTTCCAGGGTTACACAGACATGGAAATAGAGAAGCTGAAATCCTAAGGCATCTCTGCAAACCCATCCCAGAGTGCTGGCACAGATACACACATCTCCTCTTTGGTTAAAAGAAATGGAATTCCAGAATGGGTTGGTTTGGAAGGGATGTTAAAAACCTATCCAGTGCCACCCCTGCCATGGCAGGGACACCTTCCACTATCCCAGGGTGCTCCAAGCCCCGTCCAGCCGGGCCTTGGACACTTCCAGGGATCCAGGGACAGCCACAGCTTCTCTGGGCACCCTGTGCCAGCGCCTCCCCACCCTCCCAGTGAAGGATTCCTTCCCAATATCCCATCCATCCCTGCCCTCTGGCAGTGGGAAGCCATTCTCTGTGTCCTGTGGAATCTCCTCCCCGTGACCCCACAGAGCTGCAGTGAACACGGTAGGAACGGCTCCTGCAGAGGGGACGGAGAGAAAGCCTTTGGCACCCACAGCCAAGCGTGGGGAGCAGCAGCCCCTGGAAAAGCTGGCTGGGAGGGTCTGGAATGCTTTCCCTGCACTGGGGAAGGGCCAGAGGAGCTGCAAGGCTCGGCTCTCCAGCTTCCCCAGCACCCAGGCATCAACGCATCTCTTCAGCTTCAAAGCAAAGCCTCGCTCCTCTTGTGCTTTGGACCAAAAAACGAAAAGGTTTCTTCATTGTGGAGCGTAATTACATCAGCGTGGTCCAACAGGCTTTTCCCTGCCAGTCCATCCTGCTCCAGACCCGMCCCTGGCTCCTCAGGCATCTGCAGATCAAAGCTCCACATTCCCCTTCCCGAGCCTGAGCAAGAACATCTCCCCAGAGTGGGGAGGAGATGGAGGGGTCAGTGCCAGCTGCTGGGAGGTGTGGGCAGATGGCTGTCCTGACTCTCAAACTCTCTCAAGGCTCCACAGCAACCAAGAACTCCTAAAAACCACCATTTTTGGGAATGTGGGGAGGCTCCAGAGCTTCCCCACTATGGAATGGCTCTACATGGGCAGTGAGCAGGGGGATTCAGCACAAGGATATTCCTGTAGGGAAGGGTTTGGGAAGGAAATGGAGCAGGGAACTGCCCATACTGGGGTTAAACCCAGCAGAACCTCGTGCCGGGGGTGTTTTATCCGTCCCCTCCACGTCCACGCTACCGAAATACCCACATGACAGCTGAGTGGTTCAAAACAGCCCCTTCAGAACTCGCCAGTTATTAATAAGATTCCAATCCAAAAAAA